TGGACGCCCTTTTTGGGCGTTCGACCTTAAAAAAAAAAAAAAAAAAAAAAAAAAAAAAAAAAAAAAAAATTGCTCTGGACGCCCAACTCGGGCGCCCAAATGTAGCTTGCACGCCCAACTTGGGCGTGCACTGCATGAATGGACGCCCAAGTTGGACTTTTACGCGTTTTGGGGGTGTTTTTGGATTTTTTTGAGAAGTTTTGGGGTTTTAGTGAAATAAAGTATTTTTTTGGGGGGTTTTGTTGGAAACCGCAAATAACAATTTTCAAAGCAATTCCCTTTATTTATTATTTTGCATTACTTCATTTTCAACACTCAAATCACATCCATCTTTCATTGAATGCAAATATACATTAAAAAAATTTAAACGAATTTATTAACATGTCGGATATTAATTTATCGAGATCATTGAAAACGAGGACGGTGGGCACAATAATAAAGTTTGAAACGTCGACGTATTTACCACCAAAAAATAATCATTCAGATTTTGGCAGGAAGTTGGCAGAAGTGGCCATAAATTAGATAAACTATTCAAAGGTGTAAATAAAACCAATAATTAGGTGAATCTTTTATTGCATACAATAAATAATAAGTACTAATTTGTCAAAAGATAAATCAATTTTTTGCTGTCATAAAACAGTGACCTTTACCTCACAGATCTTCCCTTAAAACACTAGTACCACATGCTTAACTGGGTCCCACATATATTTTCTTCTACTCATGAAATCAGTATGGGCCATATTTTGCTGCCACGTTTCAATTATTATTATTATTATTATTATTATTATTATTATTATTATTATTATTATTATTATTATTATTATTATTATTATTATTATTATTATTATTATTATTAAAAAGAGTCAATTTCAATTGGAAGAAGTGGGGACACATGCAAAGAGTTGAACAATTGAACCTTAAACTTGTTGCCACGTAAAGAGATTTATTTCTTGGATGTGCTTAAAATATTTTAAATTATAAATTGTCATCATCTGGGATTAATAAGAATAAGTAATTTTGTTATCTGGAATGATAATGTCGTTTTAATTTTACTAATGTCGTTTTGACTTCGAAAGTGATTTTGACTATTTTCTATTTTGAATTTGGCAAAGTTCAAAAGACGGAAACTGTAGTCCTTTGAGATAGCTTTCTTATCCAACATGAATGACCTGGATTGGATGTCGGGTGACAAAGTTATGCATGAATGAGTTACGTTTTAAATTTTACATAATTTAAAACATCAAAGTTGTGGTCAGTGTTCATTAATTCATGCATAACTTTCTCAACCGACATTCAATCTTGGCGATTCAAATTAGATTAGAATGCTAACTCAAAGAATTACAAATTCCATGTTCTGAATTTTGTCAAATTCAAACTCGAAAATGGTCTAGATCACGTTTGAAGTCAAAACGACATTATGAAAACTGAAACGACATTTATCACCTCCCGTTTGTTATAAGCTATTAAATTCCATAATGAGCGATCCAATTTTATGTTCCACTCAATTTTATCGAAATTTCATAAATCATTTTTTTTTAGAAGAAAAAAAAGTACTTTAAGGTAGTAGGTTATTATAGGCTATAGCTCATGCAATGTGCCCAACTCATTAACTAGGGTATTGACTAATTATCCCATGATCTAGTGTCTCATCTGTTTGTTTCAATAAAGTTAAAATTAATTTATTATTATTTTAATTTATTTTGTATCCTCGTATTAATATCACATGCCCTACATGTTTTGTATATTTTCAATTTTTCATTGTTGTAGTTTTTCTCCGACAATTTAATTTATTCGATGTTAGACTCGGGTCGTGGATCTGCATATAATTCAGTGGATGGTTATTTAATCTTATTTACCGTTGAAACTCACCAACTATATATGATCATGCGTAGCATCTCAATGACCAAATTAGACGTACGTAACGCTCCTGTAATTCTACGTCTCTTTTATAAAAATAAGATTCTTTCTTTCTTTAATTTTTCGGTCGGTGATTAAAACAAAATATTTTAATATCCGATCACAACTTTTTACTAATGTATATAACCAAAAAGTTGATTTATTTTATTGTCTTTGTAATCCTTAGTAGGTCTCAATTACATGAAAGTGACAATAATAGTATTTTGTAGCAATAAATCAAGATAAATAAAAGTTAATTAATCTTATGTGCATTCATTTTCATCATCATTAGTTTAATTTATGGCATACAATATTAACTAATTGAATATTTAAAAGTCACCCCACTATCTATGCTTAACTTAATCTCTACTAATCAACCCTCGAGTTAATTAAACATGCTTAACTTTAACCATAATCATTCTCTTTGCAATAATCAAGAGAGGCTAAATATGCAAATACCTACAACTACAAGGCCCTATATTGTAATTAATTAGCACTTTAGTTTAATTAAAGCACCATTATTAACTTTGCTAATTAAATACTCTATTTAATACTCATAAAGTTCAGTTTCATTCATATTTGTTCAAACCTCATTAAATAAAATATTAATTAATTAATTAAATAAATAATAAACGCCAAATTAAAGGTCGTCGATATTATATACACTGATTCACCATCTTCATCGGAATCCCACATTTGCAGCTCTTCATCTACACAAACCCAGTTGGGAAAAAAATGGCGGCGGAATTCTCCGCGGCGGTTGATGTAGGCCTCCGCCTCTGCAAGAGAATCTACTACGGAAAGGACGCCGCGGCGCCGGTCGTGTCGGTGCCGCCGCGAACGGCTGAGATGTCGCCGGAGGCGGAGAGTTACCTCCCGGCGGCGCTGATGGTGTACGCGGAGGTTAACGATCCGGCGGTGGTGGAAAATCCCGACGTACCGAGCTACCAGCCGTACGTTCACGGCAGGTGCGAGACGCCGGCGCTGATTCCGCTGCACATGCATGGGGTTTCGGTGGAGGTCGACTGTTGTCTGGATACGGCTTTTGTTACAGTCGGCGGCGCGTGGAGGGTACACTGCGTCTCCGCGAGTAGGAGCTGCTACTGCCGCATTGCTGTGCCGATTGGTGAACAGGTGCCCATTAATCACTTTAATTTTTCTTGATTTTTTAGTAATTTAAATTTTTTTTTTCATCGCATAGATTTTCAATTAATGAAGCTATTAAATATTATTTAGTTTTTATTTTAAATGGAAAAATTCAATTCTACTAAAAAATAAATGTGTAAAATTGTTCTTTCAATTAAAACGACACTTCATTTGATTTTCCTGAAGTGTAATAGTATATGTTTATGAAAAAGAACTCTTTTTTTTTTTTGTACTATTGTAGATTTGGTTAATTTAAAATGTAATAATATATAAATTAATTAAGTTGGAAAATATATATTATTTATTAAGGATTATTTGGCTAACAGGGTTCAGTTCTAGGTGTAGAAATCGAAACCCCTTCAAAATCCTACAGTACACAACTGATCTCACTGCAAGAAACTGCAGATGCAGCCAAAGTAGAGAGCAGTAAAGATGGATTCTTGATTAAAGGCCAAATATACACACTCAAAATTCCCAAGGTAGTTAATCTTTCCTTTTTTTTTTTAAATTAATTTTCTTCATTTAATTTAAGACATGATTATTATGTTACAATTTTGTGTTAATTTCCCAGGTTAGTGGTGGAACCATGTTGACTGTTAAAGTTAGTTGGTCCCAGAAATTATTATATCAAGACGGACAATTTCGCCTCAATGTACCTTTCACTTTTCCTTCGTATGTTAATCCCGTGTCGAAAAACCTAGTTAAAAACGAAAAGATTTCAGTTAACGTTAATTCCGTTGCCGGAACAGAATTCTCGTTTCGGAGCACTAGTCATCCTCTAAAGGTATTCCATTTTTTATTCAACAATCTGTGTATATATATATATATATATATATATATATATATATATATATATATATATATATATATATATATATATATATCATAATAATTGCATTGAAATAAAAAATCGTAAAACGATCTCGTTTTTTCGTTTGGCGAAAGAGAATCGGAGAGGAAGATACCAAAATCGGATTTCGTTGCGAGAGAGAAGTTCCGATGTGGTCCGTGAACGACTTCAGTTTTTCATACAATGTACGACATATTTAGTTATTACCTTTTTTTTTGTGCAACGTTTTCGTTTGTTTCGATCGCCTAGTAATTAACTAATTAATTTTTCGTCAGGTTTGTTCGAGTGAAATTGTTGGCGGTTTATTATTGCAATCTCCATCTACGAACGATTTTGATCGAAGGGAAATGTTTTGCTGTTATCTATACCCAGGGAAAAAGTCAATTAGTACTAAGGTTAGCAATTAATCTCTCACTAATCGCAATTTCTGTTTTTTTTTCCTCTTACATATATAAATTGTCGACTTTTTGATTTGCGTAATAACTTGTCCTAGACTCCGATCCGTTTGTCTTGCATTATGCAAATTACTAAAGATTTTCGTATACATCATGCCCCTGTTAATGCTAATCGGCTATTATTTTTACAGGTTTTTAGAAAAGAAGTGGTATATATAGTCGACGTAAGCGCCAGCATGCAAGGAAGTCAACTTGAGAAAGTCAAGACCGCAATCTTGGCTTCTTTATTAAATCTCAATCCGACAGATACTTTCAATGTTATAGCATTCAATGAAAAAACTTCGTTATTTTCTTCGTCTAATTTGGTTCCGGCGAATAAGGAGACGATAAAAGAAGCTTCTGAATGGATTGAGCTTAATTTTATAGCCAAGGGCGGCACAAACATCTCAGCTCCTTTAAACCAGGTATTTTCGTAATAAACACAGTCTATTTGATCATTGAATTTCTCGTGAAATTATTCATCGATAAATGAGTGTGTTTTTCTTCTTTTTTAGGCTATAAAAATGTTCTCAAAAACCGGCGATTTACTTCCCGTAATTTTTCTTATAACCGATGGATCAGTTGAAGATGAAAAGGGCATTTGTGATTCGATGAGAACTCAACTTGTGAAGGGAGGGTTGACGTCTCCTCGGATCTGCACGTTTGGGATAGGTGAGGTGTTCGACAAATTTGATACGATTTTTTTTTTCTGATGATTTTTTTTAATTTATTCGTTGCTTTTATTTCTTGTTAGGTTTATACTGCAACCATTACTTCTTGCAAATGCTTGCACAAATCGGAAGGGGTTACTATGATGCTGCCTTCGATATAGGTTTGGTCTATACGAAAAACGAAAAATAAAAAATCCCATTAGTGTTTACTATAATAAACATAAATTTCACAGAGTGTACCAGTTTTTTTACGCAGGTTCGATAAACTCTCGATTAGAAAGATTGATTAGTAATGCATCATCGGTCATAGTTGCAGATATAACCGTTGATGCTTTGAAAAATCTCGATTCCCTCGAGGTACATTATGTCATTAAGAGAAAATAAAATAATTTGTTATGCATCTAACTATCTAAGTCTAATTATTCAATTTGTTTTTTAATTGGCTGCAGATATTTCCGTTTAATATTGCAGACCTATTGTCCGGATGTCCGTTATTTATAACGGGAAGATTTCGTGGGGACTTCCCTAAAAATGTTGAAGTTAACGGTACTTTAGCCGCAAATTCAAGCAATTTCGTAATGAAGATGAAAGTTCAAAATGCGAAAGATATCCCTCTTGACAAAGTAAGGTTTTCCACTTGTTTACAATAAGTTTACGAGTTTATTTCGTTTGTCCCTGTATTTTCTCTAATTGCTAAAACACCCCTCATAAAAAAAACTGCCACTAAAAAGACTCACTATTTAGGGGATTGTTGCTAAAAAATGCATTAATAGCACGAGAAGTTTTTTAGCAACTCGATATAACATAGGGGTACTAAATGCAATAAACTCGTAAATTTGCATTTGGAAAATTCCCACAAGTTAAAAACCACTAAATTTGTTTTCGATTGCAGATATTTGCTCGGAGACAAATCAACGCGCTTACGACAAATGCATGGTTTTCGGGGAGCAAAGAACTAGAGGAAAAGGTTTGTCTTCAACTTCTCGATCGTCTAAATCAATGTACTACATTTAGAACTAAAAGTACAACTAGCTAGACCTCTTGAATAAATACATGCAGGCTACAAAACTGAGCCTGCTTACAGGGGTACCGTCCGAGTATACCACGATAATTCTAGTCGAGACTATCAAAAACAAGTCACTATCCAATCGAAAAACACTACAAGAGGTAATTAAATTATTTCGAGCAACAATTATTTTTATTATTATTATTTTTAACTTTTTTTAAATAATAAATGTTCCATTTTTCAGAAGACGGTTAAAGAGCAGAAGAATATGATATACATGCGCAGACTTGGAATCGGGTATGGAAATACTGAGGCGACGGTTGAAAATCGAGCACCTGCAAATGCGGAACCGAAATTGTACGAAAGTACGGAAATAATATTTAAAGCTGCTTCGAATTTGTGCGGGAGATTAGTGGATTGCTGCTGCTGCATGTGTTTTATTCAGTTCTGTAATCGGCTTAATGATCAATGTGCGATCGCTCTTACGCAGCTGTGTACCGCTCTCGCTTGTTTTGGGTGCATTGAAATGTGCTGTGATGTATGCTCTTGTGACTGTGATTAGATATATGTATGTATGTGCGTATATAATATATATGTATAGAGGAGTTGCTTCCATTGTTTGAATATTCTTATGATGGAGTACTAGTGTGTAATAATTATGTTTCTATTTTGCAAAAAAGAAAAATGTTGTTCTCGTATTTCGGGTTTCGGGCGAGTAGAAATAGCAAGCTAAAGAACGGCCTTACTTTCAGACAATATTTAATGCAAGTCCAATCAGATCTTTGGTAATATTGTGTGACATGACAAGATTAATAGAATTTGAATTCCGCGGATTTTTTTTACTGATATGACTAGAGAGATAAAAACCAAATCCAACGAGGATGTTGAAGTCCGAACCTGGCTATAAATATCGAGCACCCACGACTCTCAAAAAGGTAAAAACAATAATTCTAATATTTGTAACTTGCGAGAGAGAACGCATTTTTATTAAAATCACTGACTTGGTCGTCGGAGTACTAACATCCAACATAAATCACAATCCAGAGCAGATGATCAAATGACGCCGTATGTGGGGGAAAAAAAATAGAATTTTTAAAATTTGTCGATTCCGGTACGAATATTTCTGATTATGACGTATCATTCTAATTTTTCGAAATTCCGGTTTATGATCACTCCACTTACTTTGGAACAAAATTGGAATTAATTTTTAAAATCCGATAGAAATATAAATTTTCCGAAAGTGATACTTCTGATTCCGATCTATTCCGTCCGATTATCACCCTAATACATTCAATTAAAAAAGAAAAAAGAAAAAAGAAATCAAATTCTTATGGCCCAATTCAAATAGGCCCATAATGTATTTTGTACAGACAATTCAAATAGCCCACACCGGAAATCTAGTGACACTGTCTGTAGTCCGTACACGCCGACGTGTTTCTCTCTCTTCACACTCTCAGACCGGCGACGTTTGTCGGAACAGGAGTGAGAAGTATTTCCAGCTCTTGCAATTATTATTCAAAATCCAGGAAATTCGCTTCTTCTACCGGCGGATAAAACACCTAGTACTGTGTGTGTTCTTGCTTTCAATTTAGGGTTTTTCAAATGGCCACTTGCTTCGAGAAGAATTGCCTTTTCCTCTGCCTTTTCGTCTTTCTCTACCGGTGAGCAAATATAATTACAGTGGATCGGAGCTTGATTTTTATGTGTTCATTTTTTTTTAAATTTTATTTGTGAATTTGGACCAGTTATCTTATCTGATTAATTACATATATGCAGTTTTCATGTATGTAGAAATGTCTGTGAGAAAAAAATAAATATAAAAATATAATTTGTAGCATCGAAGATTCAAGATCCAAATACTGTGTAGTTTTATTTATTTAATCAATTAATTTTGGTTAGGTTAAAATTAGTACTGCCTGTATTTTAATGCTTGAGCTATAGATCATTGGCTAATGTGGATAAGGTAAAAGAGAAGACGCTAGCGATGATAAAACCGGACGGAGTCGAAGGCGAATATGCTGACGTCATTAAGAAAACCATTTTGGATTCCGGCTTCGAAATTGCCCACGAAATCGAGCTTCAATTGAACGAGGATACGGCGAAAAATTTCTACGCAGAGCATTCTTCGAAGAGTTTTTTCCCGAGCCTCGTTCAGTACATGACAAGGTATATACGAATAATGCCGTTAGAAATATAGTCCTTGTTAATAATCAATTGCATATCTCATTGCTTAAATCTCGAGCTATAAATAGATATTCCAATGTATAACTATATATTTAACTAGTGGCAAAGTGGTAATAATGGTTTTGGAGAAGGAAAACGCTATATCTGATTGGCGAGCTTTGATTGGACCTACAGATGCAAATACAGCTAAAGAAACTCATCCAACAAGGTTTTTTAGATACTTTCGCGTGTTTGTCATCGTTTGTTATTGAGAAAACTTTTCTATGATTTTTATTCTTTAAATTGATTTTTATTCTTTAATTAAAAACCGTAGTATCAGAGCTTTGTGTGGGGTCGACACGGGAAGAAACTGTGTTCACGGTTCAGATTCACCGCAATCTGCTGCGAGAGAAATATCGTTTTTCTTTGACAAGTCAACTTCAGGTGAAATCATTTGTTGCATTGTCTTTATTTACATTGTTGTTTTATTTTCTAATATATGCTAACTGTACATGTAATTCTACTTATTTATTTTTGTTAGTTTATAATGATAATTTGCGTTTTTTGGCTGCAGACGTATCCCAAAGGCACGATGAACTATAAAGTTGCTAGTCCTCAGAAACGAATCATGCTCTAAATTTTTACCTAGTGCGCGCACGTTTTATCACTACAACATAACCTTGTAAGTGCAAGTGTATGCTTCTTTTGTGTAATGGATTCGATATTTACTTCGTAAAAGTTTCATGTGGATAGATAGCTAAGAGTTACCATTCATCCGAGCGTAGGCGGTTTATATGATTTGAAAATCCGGACTTGGTTCGTGTGTTAGCCCATGATGTATAATTATATAGACGGGTACATATTATATGCATCGACTTTTGATTGATTTTAAAACACTGGTTTAGTTTGCTTCGCTTCCGTCCTCTCACTCTCTCTCTCTCTCTCTCTCTCTCTCTCTCTCTCTCTCTCTCTCACACACACACACACACACACACACACATCAATATAATGCTTCATTAATTTCAACTAGGTATATAGTTGAACAATATGGACCAATAAATTTGTTAGTGTCATAATAAGGTACACAATATCTTAGCACTAGTGTTTTGGATCAAGATTTTGATTTTGTGACAAGAATATATATATATATACATACATGTTAAGATCCCATAAGATTGTGACTTAGGTCAATGGAGGATATATATATATATATATATATATATATATATATATATATATATATATATATATATATATATTGTTCTAAATATCTTTCTTTAATTGAGATGTAAAACATTCCACATTTGGAAAGTCATGATTTTTCTTACAACTTTTGAGTTGGAATTGTCACCCCCTAGACATATAATCTAACAACTTGTACTCACTCCCACGTGGGCTTTTCACTCTCTTTTTTTGGTCAATTTGTAATTAAAAATAAAATTAAAAGAAAAAAAAGTAGATCATTTTCTTGATTGGGGTAATTTTCTTGAGCTATCTTTTTTTTTTCTCTTTTTATTAATATTATTTCACATGCATCTCGAGGAATATGTGGGGATTCTATATGGAAGCTCAAAGAAGCTTGAAGGAAATATGTGACGACTACGATGACGTTTTATTTCTATACTTTCGTTTTACGCGTTTGTTAAATTTTGTGATTGTCTGCGTTATATTGATTTATATGCATGTGTGATCCTGTAAAACCGTAAAATTCACCTGGTGTATCGTAGAATATATAATCGACCCATTATCAAGCAAGTTGGTTGATTCATTATCGAACAACTTGACTGATTATAATCACACTATTAACAATTTATATTATATAGTTTCAAAGAGTTTAATTTATATTATTTTAATCAATTTGTTTAAATATTTGCAAATAAATATTCCATTTATCTTCAAGAATTGAAACTCACATAAACCTCGGAAAGATGAGAAAATAAAAGAAATTGCTAAAGCTCAAAACACGATTAACAGAAATTGAGGACACTTGTAGAATAGTCAAATATAGGAACAGTTGAAAGTCAACCCGACCCCATTGGTGAACGTGAGTGAGACAAGTGTCAAGATATGATACGCCAAAATATTGAAATATACCCACAAAGAGAAAGATGAAATCTACACCATTCTTGCCCAACACATTTTGCCCTAATTCGGATCGGATCGAATTGAAATTAACACTTTTGAAATATATTTTAAGAAAATCCGTAAGTTCAAAAAAAAAAAGTTCGCTTCCATTCAAAAGAAAATGGAAGGATCGAAAATTGAAATTTTCGGAATTTGAACGAAATAACTTTTTTCTTTCAAAATTTGAAAATTTCCCAATCAGAATCGGCGGAATTTGTAATTTCACTTTTCTTAGTCATTTATAGGAAAAACAAGCATTGCATTACAATATTAATGGAGATCTTTATTGACGACGTTAGTGTTGACAAAATATTCTAATAAAAAAATTTACATGCAAGTGCTTCATAATCATTTCATTTTCATTTTGGTCCTTAGATAATACATTTTTATTAAAATCAGTTCAAGTACTTTCCATTTGCAGTTCTGTATAAAGTGCCCCCCAAAAAAGAGGATGATGTAAGATCTTCAAGAACAACTTGTGCAGGTTCTTTGCACCTAGTCTGAGGAAGATTATACGCGAGTTTATAAAAACGCATTTCGAATCTAATAATATATCGAAATGTGTGCAGAATCTCACATCAACGGAAATTTTGCCGTGGCGAGTTGTCTGATGTCGATAAGCCGAAATTTCCCCGCATACGGTCCTGATGCTAACGGATTAAATGGAAATTGTCTCCCAAGATACAACGGCAAAACTTGGAATAGGAGCACTCCAAATCCCAAGTACGACGAACTGTACTTTGTGTAGAACTTTTCGAGAGAATCTGTAAAGGGAAGGCTGAATATGCAGTAGGCTTTTATTTGGATTGAAGTGAGGAATCCTGGGAATGTTAGGGTCTATTTATAAGGTTTGAAAAGTAGTGTCCTTTGGGGCAAAAAGGTACCTTTTGTTTGAATGGTTGCACCAACCATTTCGAATGGAGCCAATTGGGAGTAATAGTTGCACCATTTCGGGTTGAGCCTGAATGGTTTGCATTGGTTCGGCCGCACCAATTCAGACCTAATGTTTTTGGCCCAAAAAATTAATGTAGTGATTTGGGCCCGAGCCCAAATCCAAATCCGATCCATACATACGTACGAGCGAGCCGAGCCGGCCGGTCGGACGGACGGACGGCCGGCGGCGGCGGCGCGCGCGCGTGTGGGCACGATTTGAAACATATAACATATAGGCCTTTCTCCCAAACAAAGTTGAATGCCCAAAGGGCGTGACCCTTTGTCCCCATATTTTGATATAAATACAGCTTAGTACTTCTCTACTTTTCCAATGTGGGATAACTTAAAATCCCACTTTCCTTATATTTTTGGACTAGTAATTTTTCATTCACCACACTAATATTGATAAAAATTGTTCATGACTCAATTTTTAACCAATTTTCCCAACAAAATCTTCATTAAATCATTCTTCATTTTCTATGTTAATGAAAAAAAATAATAATGATAATAATGTTCATTCGTTACGAAGATATAATTCGTCTAGTAGGCCTTTCTTATATATCGATTCTTTTTTTCTTTTTTGGGATGACACTATTCTAGACTTTTAGTGATCGATTAAGGCCTTAATCGAGCGCTTAATGAATATATAGTGATTAATCCCTTTTTCGGGATTAGCTGCATTGAGCTTTATCACCTCAAGATCACCAAAGTACTCTAGTTAATCTCTAGGATTAAACTATAAAATATATAAAATATAAAGAGAGATGAATGTTTGTTTTGCATAATATTTGTAAATCTTGAATATTATTTTAATAATTTCTATAATATATATGGGAACTTGAACCAATAGAAAAGCTGCTTTTTTCTCTATATTTGGCCATTGTTTTAATTGCACACTAATCCTTTATTTATTAGTCCCAAAGCTCAAATCTCATTGGCTCCTAGGATCTGCTTCTTTCACCACAGTAGACAAAATATGAAGGTGAGAATCTCTGCTAATTCTATAATCAAATTTTATTTTATTTTTTTGCAAAAAATATTGCCTTCTTTCTCATGTTACATCTAAATGTATTTTTCATTGTGTGTTTTTTGGTACAGTTCTTCAACTGGATGCAGAACAAGTTTACCGGAGCACAAAACGCAGTTCCCGCTTCGAGTAAGTAGTTTTTCGATATTCATTAACAATCGTCGATCTTACGTGTTGTCACAAAAAAACACTAATGAAATTTTATACTTAACTTAATATATAGTTAGTTACTTATGTTTTTTTTAATTACATATAATGCAGATCATGCAAAGAAAGAATCTCCAAAGGAAGAATTCAGTGACTGGCCCCACGGATTGCTTGCCATTGGTACGTTCGGCGACACCGCCGATACGATCCAAGTTGATGAAAAAAATCCACATAAAAATGAGATTATTCCACTAAAGGAAGAGGAATATTCGTCAGGGGATCTTTCGGAATTCACAGCTGAGGAAGTAGTCAAGTTACAAAAGGAGCTGACGAAACTCTTATCGAAAAAATCAGCAACAAAATCCACCGACAAAAAATCCGTTGCTAATTTACCGTTGGATCGGTTCCTAAACTGCCCCTCCAGCTTGGAAATGGACAGGATTAATTCCAACAGATTCAGCACTTACTCTGACAATAGAGACGAGGAAGAAGAAATCGATCGGACGATCAGGATTATTCTAGGAAGATGCAAAGATGTTTACGAAAAGAAGAAGAAGAATAGTAACAAGACAATCGGGATAAAGTCGTTGTCTTTTCTCGTCAAGAAAATGTTTGTTTGTCGAAGTGGCTTTGGACCAACGACTAGTTTTAGAGACACACTTCAAGAATCAAGAATGGAGAAGGTAAAAAGAGCTGTTGTTACATATGAATAATTTGAAAATAAAACCTTAGAAAAAATTGTTTGATATTTTTTTTTTTTTTGCAGCTTCTTAGGACAATGCTGACGAAGACGATATACACGCAGAAATGTTCAAGAACTTCGTCGACGAAGAAATACATTGAGAATTATTACAAGCCGGAGATGAAAGCTGAGAAAGAAGAAGAAGTAGAAGAATCACATGGTATAAGTGAAGAGGGATCTAAATGGGACAAAACTGATTCTGAATGTGAGTTTGTAATTTTTTTAAATTCTTTTTTTTTCCGAACTTATTACATAAATATGGGATTGACAAACAATATTTTTTTTTGTGAGCAGTTATTGTTCTAGAGATTTAGACACTGCTCAAATTGAAGATGGAAAAATAATTCACTACAAGAAAAAAAAGTCCTTTTTAGCAACTCGCGATGCACGTCGTGGACCAACAAGGTGCAAAGTACGTGATGGTGAAGGGCGCTGTCGTGGTTTATATTACAACAGCATGCATCGTATGTTGCCAATAAAATTCGTATATGGAAATTAAAAGCTTCTTGTTAGTGAGAAAAAGATCAACTTTTTTTTTTTTTTTTTCATGGTTGTATGTATCTTAGGATGGATACACACATGTTAATGTAATATTCTCAGTAAAACAAAAATTTCTTCTAGTTTTTGTGGTGATGTGGGTAAGTTTCTTAAGTTGCAAAGCATACATTTTTCCACATTCACCATTGTTTTTCCTTTCATTGAAGTCTCCTAATCGGTCCAAGATTCGATCATGATTCCGTGATTCTCACGTAAGATCTACATTCTTTCCTTATCTAGTTACAAAGAACATATATCTTTCGTATCTTTAGTTTCTACCGGTCTCTGCATCAGCTTGCCGTCACACACTGTTCAAAGTACCTTAGCGAACTCATAAGTGAACTAGTATTTCGTTGACTTGCGATCTTCGGCGCGCCCACAAACTCTTTATTCCGGCGAACTTCCGAACTTAATTGGGCTTTTGGCCCCATATTCTTCGTTCTGGCCCAATCCTTCCTTCACCATTAGGGCCATTGGATAGTGTTCGACCCACGAATACCGAACTGAGCCCCCCATCAGTAGTTTATAAACAATACAAACGTTTATAATTTTATAAATTTAGTTGATTCTTTTTCTAGATAGATCAAACAATTACTCTTAATATATAAATGTGAAAGTGTGCAAGAAAATACATGACAAAGATGTGTACACGTTTTAGAATTACAATAAAACTAGTTATTTGCAAAAATCAACTTTAAAATTACCAAAAATATTGCCTATTAAATTCCAAAGGGTCAGAATGCAAATATTTTAAAGATGAAGGTCTCAATGGGCAAAAAGAAAATTGGAAATCTATAGAGAAAGAAAGAAGTGCAGTAGTAGTAGAAGAGAAGAAGAAAACCAAGCGCCATTCCATAATAAAGCGATTTGGGGATAAGCCCAATACTCATGAGAGATTAGGTTTAATTGAATTCCCTAGATCAGATCTTCAACAAAAAGTCAACACAATCTCCCCCTGTATTTCTTGTATTTCAAAGCTTCCCAATTTTCTCGTTTTCTTCAATTAGGGTTTAGCGGATTTACCAAAGTTCAGATTTTTTTTTTCTTCCCCCGAAGTCTGAGCTGCCAATTCGATTTGGGTTTAATCGAAATTGGAAGATTTTTCCGGCTGGTTTTTTGGTAATTAACGGAAAAAAGTTGGTCTTTTTTTTGAATTAAATCGATGTCGTGGGCAGGACCTGAAGATGTTTACACCTCAACTTCTCTTGCGAGCTATCTTGACAGTAGGGTTTATTTTATTTATTTATTTATTTTTGTTATTAATTGGTTTCTTGAATTTTCTTGGGAGATATTTTGTGTTGTTGAAATCAGTATTTTGAGGTTGGAATTTGAATTTCATCATGTTTTTTTTTTTCTTGAGATTCTTACAATGGTGGTTGGGCAGATTCTGAATTAGCAGTTTTGTTGAGGAGAATTTGTGTTTGAAATTATATTTTATAAGTACTATGCCTTTTACTTTGATTCTTTATCATCTTCCTTTATGATTGAGTAGATGCTGTTTTCCGAGCGTTTTTAAGTAAGAAGAGCGATTTGCAGTTGATAAGAAAATTAAAAAAAATACTTCGCTAGCAAATGCTGTGAATGCTGATAGGCGATCAACACTTTTCGAGTTAAAGATTCGATTTTTAGGGATTGTGTTGGAGTGTGCGTTAAATTTGAAGTAGCAAATTTGATGGATATAAACACTTTTCGAGTTAAAGATTCGATTTTTAAGGATTGTGTTGGTGTGCGTTAAATTTGGAGTAGCTAATTTGATGGAGACAAACAAACAGTTTTTGATTTAAAGATTCGATTTTTAGGGATTATGTTGGTGCTTGTTAAATTTAAAGTAGCAAATTTGATGGGTTTCATTCATACAATCCGATAATATCTATCGGCTTGTGCATTATCTTTTGGGGTGTATGGAAACACTCTGCTTATCGTTGTTGATGTTTAATTGTTTAGCAATATCAAGATTGTATATATATGTTCCGAATTATATATTTTTCACTACTATATTTCCGGTCAATTACAAATATCACAACACCTGATAATGAGATTAAATTATGATTTAGCTGTGTCCGAGTAAATTTGTAAATTTTAATTTCTCCCCGTGTTAGATTTGTGGTGCAAAACCTCTCTACTCTTTCCTCATCTTTTCTTAAGCATCTATTTTTTGAAATCTTTTTTGAACTGCTTCTAAGTTCTCACCTTTAAATTGAAATTTTGCCTTTTCCACAGAGAAACTTCTTGTATTACTTCGAGATGGCCGAAAACTACTAGGGATTCTTCGTTCCTTTGATCAATTTGGTAGGACTTTGAATTTATTACGTATGCTGCCTGCCATGCTGTAAAATTGTCGTCTATTCTAACAAAATTGATGTCTTATTTGTAGCTAATGCTGTCCTAGAAGGTGCATGTGAGCGTGTTATTGTCGGTGAACTTTATTGTGACATCCCATTAGGCCTTTATGTGATCCGTGGCGAAAATGTTGTCTTAATCGGAGAATTGGTAATTTGTGCAGAAATTACTGTCAATTTCCTAATGTGTGTTTTTTTTTTAACGGTCTTACATAAGATGTGATATGGGTTTTTTAGGATTTGGAAAAAGACGAGCTCCCCCCTCACATGACTCGTGTTTCAGCGGAAGAGATAAAAAGGGTAAGCTCTAATTGTGATGCTTTTTAATTGTACAAAAGGGAAGTAGAGTTCTTCTGTTTTATTTTATTTTTCCTATATGATTAAGTATTTTTCTTTCTCTCTCTCGTTTTTTTTTGTGCAGGCACAGAAAGCAGAGAGAGAAGCTTCGGAACTCAAGGGCACAATGAAAAAGTGGATGGATTTTCTTGATATGGATTGACATATGCATATTTTTGTGCTGTTGAAGTTGTTCGTTTTGCTTTTAAGGCCAGGACAAATGTTGTCACCTGCAAATATTATCGCAGATGCAGTATGCTGGAAAAAAATATAACATGGGCCGGACGGAGCAAGATTTTCCTTTCTTTTGTTGCTTTCTACTAAAATTCTCTACTGACATAATTTAAATTTTTAGACGTTTCAAGTATCGTCATTTGTGCTATATTCATTGTACTGACACATGGTAACGTAAAATTGGGATTAGATTGCGTGTTTACTATGATGAGAGAAGGGATAAAAACCGCGTTTTCTTCCATCATATTTTGTTTTTGGAAGGATGTCGGAATTTGTTCCGTCTTAGTTGCTCATTGTATAGACATTTTGTATCCCAATATATGAATGCTTTGAATCATTCCTTCTGCTTGAACTTATGACCATTTCTATAGAAACAAAGGAGTCTTGGAATCTAACAAACAACCTAAAATAGTTAATACCAAAAGTTATCTTGTTAACAGAAATTACAATAACTTAATAGCAAAAAAAGTTACAAGATGACTAAAATTACAATTATCCCAATATTTCCGAATTTTGAGAGCAAAATGTGAGGCAAAACATTACCACCTTCGACGAGCCGGTTTCGTATCCATGGAAATTTCAGACCGCCCCTCTTCGTCGTCTCTCGAAAGTAAGTCCACATATATACAACCTTCACTAATCATATATTCAAAAATCCAAAAAACCAAACTCTTTTCAACCTTCATTAATACCAAAAAAGCTACTATATTAGACTAATCGCACCACGTTGAAACCGTCTCTAAAAATCACCCTCGGGAGGCCACCACCTTGGCCGTGGAAAAGTCAACCCACGCCTCTTGGCCGTTTCCAATAAGTCAACATCTTCTTCACCGGCGGCACCACCACCACCATCCTCACCTCCACCAACAGCCACCTTGAGTATATCCACAAAGTTCACTAATCCACCGTTCGAAGTACCACTTCCCTCCACATTCTTCGCTCTCGTATAGAATAACGATGCAGGCAATTTCCGCCTTTTTTTCTCACCATCATCGATTTTCGGACATCCGTCTCCACATATCTTTTCATCTTCTCTAACCCTATCCGGTTTCATATTGCGAATGTCCTCCTCGATCCTACTACTATTCAAACTACCAGTTGAACAAGTATTTACCTCTATGCCATCCAAATCTTCAGTCCTAATTTCACCTCTATTTACATATATGCCATCCAAATCTCCACCAGCATCCTCACTATCAGCAACGATAACCTCATCAATATCAACAGTTTCAATCACCTGAGTTTCGGACGCAATCTTCTCGGTTTCATCTACAGGAACTGTATCCCTTTCCAATTCGTCAATCAGAGCCATCAGTTTGTGTGAATCGGCCTCATCTTCCAATTCCCCTTCAGAAACCCTAACTTTTTCCGATCTACAACAACCCCCATCCCCGTTTTGGTCCTCCGACGAGGAGAGCTGGGAGTGGTTGTGGTGCTCCGGCGGGGTGTGGAACACCGGATCTTCTTCCGATTGCTGCCGAGATGAACTCGAAGTGGCGGGGAGAGAAACCATGCGGATTGGGGTTTGTTCAGAAGAAGTCGGGTCGGATGACGACGACGAACACTCCACCGGGTCGGGTCTCCGAACCATCTCGGATTTCCGATCCATCGGGCAATTGGGGAATTCCGCCTCCTGTGAAGCAGTTGGCCGGCAAAATTCAAGTATTAAGGCGAATGGATCTTGTTCGTTCTCTGCTTCCATTTTTATTCACTGTAGCTCAGTGTGAGTGAGTGACAGTAGATTTTTAGGGTTTTCTGCCATCATATTTGCGGGATTTTTTTGACAGGAAAATTACTTGAGCTATGAACAAAGGAGAAGCAAAACAACTAGAGGTATTTTCTTTTTTTTTTTTATCAATTTTGAGGCTATTTTACAATTTAAATTAATTTGAGGGGTCAAAATAAATATTTAATTAATAATACATTTTTGCTAAAAAATATCGCATGGGCCTAAATCGAAAAAAGAGAGAAATATGCATTGGGCTTAATGCTTTATTGGGAGCTGGGCTGAACCGAAACTTGAGATCGGCCTTGATGGAATTAATTGACTAAGGGCTCGTTCGGTTACCTATATTGGATTAGATTGGATTACATGAGATTGGATTAACTCCCTACTGACTAATTAATTTTTTAGTTAGTAACATGTTCGGTTTGTTAGATTAGACTTTCTATTAAATTTGTTAAAATCAGTTATTATATATGAATTGTCTATAAAACCACTTAGTTTACAATAATAAAATATAATTTTAAGGATAAAATTGTATTTTTCCTTTTTAGTCACCCCTTATTAAATTAATCTCAGGGGGAGGGGTGCTACTAATTTAATGAAATAGTAGCATTTAATAGCGGGCTTTGAATTTAGTAGCGGGTTTGAAAAAGTGTGAATCTTACCAATCGGACATGTTATTAGCCCCTACTATTTAGTCAGTAGAACCTTATAGCGGTAACCGAACGAGCCCTAATTATATACGGGGAGTTAGATGTTACACCTGATTATTTATATCGTGTGAATTTGAACTGATAAATTTATTAAATAACTATCCACTAAACACATATACATATGGGTGTGTGTGAGATTATGTGTAGATCTACAGTTCATATCCACCCAGTGTAAATAACCAGATGTAGTATCACCGGGTGAACTTGAACCGAACCGTAAATTTATTAAATAACTATTCACTAAGCACACATACACATGGATATATGAGATTAGTATAGATCTACGGTTCATATCCACCAGTGTAAATAACCAGATCTAGCATCTAATTTCTCATTATATACAGTTATTGAGTTGCTACACCTAATGAAATGCACCGGATGATTTATAACTATTGATGTAATGAAATATCTTACCACTAAACATACATGTGTATGAGTGTGTGTAATTATATGTAAACCAACGGTTAATAATCATCTAGTATATTCATGCAATTAATGTAGTATCAAATAAATTATTATATGGGAAAATAATTTGGACTTGTAACAACTTTGACTTATTTAACTAAAAATTAGAGAACGTGTAACCAAAAAAAAGGAAAAGAAAAATGAGACCACGTAGTGCATAGCATCTCTCTCCTAGTATGCATGCACGTACGTACTAAGTAATTTTTCTATCTGAGTCTGGGAAATTTCTCATCTGATCTCTCTCTCTCTAAATAACCATTTTTATAGAAAAGGTCACATAACTAGGGGTTAACGTAAACAAATTACCCAAAGAAGAGAGTGGTTTGTTTTTTTTATTTTTATTTTATTTTTATTAATCTAACCGACTCATGAGTGTTCTTAACAAACTATTGATTCAACTCGGAACATTTCTTCGACTTCTTTGCGAAGCTTCTCGACCGAGTGGCTAATGCAAATACCGGGGTGGTCACCTCTCTCAATATCGCTTCCGTGCTTTTCAAGAAACGAAGTATAAACCGGAATAACCAAACTAAGTATGTAACTTCTAACCTCCTTACGTAGTTGTTCATCGCTCACAATCCAGCTCGACTGAGTTCCACGCACCTTCTTAAACTTTTCGTAGAATACCTTAAGCCTCTGTCTGTAAACAAGCTTCTTCGACACAAAAGACGAAAAAAACCCCGATTTCACTTCCTCGGTACTTCTCAAGCTGTCCAATAGGCTCTCCCACGTCGACTCTAGGTACAACTTTAAATCCCGGTAGTACTCCTCCGTTAACTCGTTCACTAAACCATCGTTCCCAATCATCGTTTTCAACTCGCGCGATTTTATTATTTTGCGAACAATGTAATTAAGGTTGTTCATCATGTACAAATTACGCAACGAAGCGTCCTTGTAGGACTTTGATTTGCACTCCATATTCGACTTGAGATCCACGATCATCTGCGAAACACGAAGCTCCAATTTCGAAGAAGCCTCCTCAATCAGTTTCGAGAGTGTCGGCTTATATAGCGCCAAGTAAGTCATATAACACATGGTGTATCTCGTTAAGGGGTGAATCGAACCACCTGCCGTTGCGGTTCGAGATTTATCCACATCCAGAGCTTTCTCGTGTTCGGAGAATGTTGCCATTACGCAGTCCGATAAACCGGACAACGACTTTTCAGCTTCGTTCGAAATAGATTCGCCCGATTTCGAGCCGAAAATTGTACGGATCTGAGGGAGTAGATCGGAGAGAAGTTCGTAGAGGTCTAAAGCGTGGAAGATTCTAGAGGGGCATCCGGTGTTGGTAATCGCCTCGGTGAATCTCAGTAAACGGACGGCGGAATCTTCGACGATCTCGACGAAGCAAGCTTCGGCGATGTCGGCGGTCAGATCCGGGAATATCCGATCGAGCAATCTCCGTTCGCAGGGGAAAGACACGTGGACGGCGGTCTTGGCGGCGCGTTTCCAGCGGCCCTTGAGCTCCTCCGATTCGACGTTCAGATCGAGATCCTTGCAGATCTCGACCAGGAGAGACTTCCGCGCAGATGCGTACACGTCGACGACGCGCTCCTGTGAGTATCCGGCGGCGGTCATCCGGTCGGCGGTGCGGCGGAGAACGCCGACGGCTTCGATCTGCTCGAATTTCACATTTAAGTCGGTGTATTGCGAATCGAGAATGATCTCGGCTTCGACGGGGAAATTGACGGAAAGGAGAATACGGCGGAACTCATCCTCTAATCGATCCGTGGATGACGGAATATTCGGCGGCGTGGAGGCGGAGAGTGTCACGGAGTCCATGGCTTCTTCAATTTCTGTACTCGCCGTCTACAAAATGCTGGATTTCGTGACCGGCGCCGCCGGTTATCGTGTATTGATATCTCCGGCGTGTTAAGAATTAGATTTATTATTTATTTATTAGTTGTTTAGTATATTAAATTATTAATTAGTCAAACAGCTACCAACTTTGTAGGCTCTTTCTTAGTTAGTGTTTGTTTGCTAAGATTTTTTTACTAGTTGATTAGTGTTCCCTTTAATTTTAGGATAGGTTAGTTATTATTTCCAATTATATTATTTTATTTTTAAATTGGAACATATACGAGATTTCGATTTCCAACCCAATTTCATATTTTCGCTAAAAATATATCGCATGGGCCTAAATCGAAAAAAGAGAGAAATATGCATTGGGTTAATTGCCTAAATGAGAGATGGGCTAAATCGAAACTTGAGCTCGACCTTTGATGGAATTAATTGACCGAGGAGTTAGATTCTACACTTGATTATTTATATCGGGTGAATTTGAACAGTATATTTAATTAAATAAATACTAATCAACACAGGTACACTTGATTGTGTGTGAGATTATGTGTCAATTAATGATTCAACTCCACATAGTGTAAATAACCAGATATAGCATTTAATTTCCCATTATATACAGTCATTGAGCTAGATGCACACACGGTAATTTTTAATCATTGTATATATTAAAATAACTTACTACTAAATATACATACATATTTGTGATTATGTGCAGATCAACGATTAATAATCACCAAAATATTTCAGCGGAGGCATCACTAAATAAATTGTTATATTGGAAAATAATTTTGACTTATTACAACTTTGACTTATTCAACTAAAAAATAGAGAACGTCTAAAAAGAAAAAAAAAAAAAAAGAAAAAGAAAAAAGAGAACACGTAGTGCATGGCAACTCCCCTTAGTATGCATGCATGCACGTACTATGTTATTTTTCTACCCGAGTCTGGGAAAATTTACATCTCTCTAAATGACCATTTTTATCGGAAAGGTCACATAACTAAAGCAGGCTAAGTACGGCCCAAACAAGAGAGATTTTTTTTTATAATTAATTTAACCGACTCAGTATTCGAAACTAATTGTTGATTCATCTTGGAACATTTCTTCGACTTCTTTGCGAAGCTTCTCGACCGAGTGGCTAATGCAAATACAAGGGTGGTCACCTCTCTCAATATCGCTTCCGTGTTTTTCAAGAAACGAAGTATAAACCGGAATAACCAAACTAAGTATGTAACTTCTAACCTCCTTACGCAGTTGTTCATCGCTCACAATCCAACTCGACTGGGTTCCACGTACCTTCTTAAACTTGTCGTAGAATACCTTAAGCCTCTGTCTGTAGACAACCTTCTTCGACACAAAAGACGAAAAAACCCCCGGTTTCACTTCCTCGGTACTTCTCAAGCTGTCCAATAGGCTCTCCCACGTCAACTCTAGGTACAACTTTAAATCCCGGTAGTACTCCTCCGTTAACTCGTTCACTAAACCATCGTTTCCAACCATCGTTTTCAAATTGGATGACTTTTTTATTCTCCAAACCATGTAATTAAGGTTGTTCATCATAAACAAATGGCGCAACGAAGCGTCCTTGTAGTACTTTGATTTGTACTCCATATTCGACTTCAAATCCAGAATTATCTGCGAAATACGAAGCTCCAATTTCGACGAAGCCTCCTCCATCAGTTTCGAGAGTGTCGTCTTGTATTCGGCCAAGTAAGTCATTAAACACATCGTGTATCTCGTTAAGGGGTGAATCGAACCACCTTCCGTTGCAATCCGATGTTTTTCCCTATTCAGAGCTGTCTCGTTTTCGGAGAATGTTGTTATTATGCAGTTCGATAAACCGGACAATGACTTTTCAGCTTCGTTCGAAATAGATTCGCCGGATTTCGATCCGAAAATTGTACGGATCTGAGGGAGAAGACCGGAGAGAAGTTCGTAGAGGTCTAAAGCGAAGAACATTCTACAGGGGGATTCGGTGTTGGTAATCGCCTCAGTGAATCTCAGTAAACAGAGGGCGGAATCTCCGACGATCTCGACGAAGCAAGCTTCGGCGATGTCGGCGGTGAGGTCCGGGAATATCCGATCGAGCAATCTCCGCTCGCAGGGGAAGGACACGTGGACGGCGATCTTCGCGGCGCGTGTCCATCGGCCCTTGAGCTCTTCCGATTCGACGTTCGGATCGAGATCCTTGCAGATCTCGACCAGGAGAGACTTCCGCGCAGATGCGTACACGTCGACGACGCGCTCCTGTGAGTATCCGGCGGCGGTCATTCGGTCGGCGGTGCGGCGTAGATCGCCGACGGCTTCGATCTGGTCGAATTTCACATTTAAGTCGGTGTATTGTGAATCGAGAACGATCTCGGCTTCGACGGGGAAATTGACGGAGAGGAGGGTACGGCGGAACTCATCCTCTAATCGATCCGTGGGCGCCGGAATATTCGGCGGCGTGGAGGCGGAGAGTGCCCCGGAGGCCATGGTTTCTTCAATTTCTGTACGCGCCGCCTACAAAATGCTGGATTTCGTGATCGGCGCCGCCGGATATCGTATATCTGATATCTCCGGCGTGTTAAGAATTAGATTTATTATTTATTTATTAGTTGTTCAGTATATTAATTACTAATTATAATTAGTCAAACAGCTACCAACGTTGTAGGCTCTTAGTTAGTGTTTTGTTACGGTTTATTTAATGGGGTCATTAGCAATACACCCCTCCTATAGATGAAAAATGGTGATATACGTATACCCATACCATAATTCTTTTTTTGTGAAAACCCCCTAAAATATTTATTTCCAATCTCACCCTTTACATATCACGTTTTTTTTTATAATTATCTAGTATTTAGTATTTACAAATTCCTATTAATGAGGCACCTAAATCTCGCTAATTAGGATTAATTTGTATAATTATCTCAATTATTCATTTTTTCTCTCTTTCTGTAAATTCCTGAAAAATTGTTACCAAATCAAAAAAAAAACTATTTTCGAACTTTATTTTTTTATTTTTTTTATTTTTTTATTATTTTCGGACTTTATTTAGCTTTTTTTTTTATTTATTTTCATTTTGAATATTTTTTGATAAAAATATAGTTTTCTAATTTTTTTTTTCTCTCCACATGTTTGCAAGGCCGAATATGACTATAGTTGAATATGTTAACTGTAGTCATATTCTTTTTTTTTTTTTTTTTTTTTTGCATTATGAACTTAAAAATTCCGATTATATGGCATAGTCATGTTTACCAAATCATATAAAACAACGAAGATTCCCTATTGTTTATGAAAACAATCCAATCAACATCCACACAAAAACTCACAATTTGAATCTACTAACTAGAAGTCAACTTGAAAACGAGAAGATAGAACATATTCAACAATAGTCATATTCGAAAAATACATAAATATGACTATAGTCATATTCGGATATGACTATAGTCATGTTACTGCTGTTGTTCAGATCTGAGAAAAAAATCGAAAAATACATAAATAAAGATAGAAAAATAACTAGAGAGAGGGATGGGAGTCGACGACAACGGTAGTGTAAAGAGAGAGAAATCGAGAGAGGCAACGAACACGAGAAAATTAATAAATCACTAATCAAGTGAATCAGTAATAGTCATATTCGAACTAGACTATAGTCACGTTAATGCTTCTGCTTCAGATCTGGAGAGCAAAAAAAACAAAAAAATCGAGAATAACGAAAGGGAAGGAGGTGGAGACGACGACAATAACGGTGAATGAAAGAGAGCGTGAGGAACAAACAAGAAATTCATAAAATCACTAATCGAGTGAATCAACAATAGTCATAATTATTCACAGAACAGTAAGAATATGACTATTATGTGACTACTCTGTAAATCGAGATAAAATGAAATCAGATACAACTCGACGACACAAACTCATAAATTTTGCTCTGAACAATTTCTGATCTTTGGCTAGGTAGGAATATTCACCTGTCAAACACATCCAACAACCAATTTAAAGGTCAAATTCATCACTTGATTTTTAATGTAATACTAACGGCGACGATGGTGGTGGTGGCGGATAGATCTGGAAAAAAACCCAGAATATCGAACTTAATTTGCAATGTGATCGGATAAACAAAATTTCATTTTTCTGTATGATTAACCGAGAAGCTTAGCTACCTCTTTTTTTTTTAGAACTCGTATTGATTTTGAATCGCATCTTCCTTCTTTGAATTCGTGAGAATTGATCGGAACCACTCTTCCTCATCATCATATACTCTGGTATTCAAGATTCGCATAACAAACAAGAAATTAATAAATCACTAATCGAGTAAATCAGCAATAGTCATATTCGAACCAGACTATAGTCACATTAGTGTTGTTGCTTCAGATCTGGGGAGAAAAACACAATGAAAAAAAATCGAAAATAACTAAAGGGAGGGAGGGAGAGACGACGGTAAGGATGGTGGCCTTCATATCTGACAATGCCAATGAAGTCTTCATGCACACAGGTAGAATAAAATAAAATATTTTTTTTTCCAAAATTTCCTTTGAACTCTGTGTGTTTTGTTTGTCTATGTAAATATATAATTAAATCAGAAACATAAAAAAATATGCAACAAGAGCTAGTATGTGTACCAGTTGGCAAAGGAAGTGTAGAACTTTGTGGGAGTAGGGTGGTGGTGGTCATGGGATGGAGAGAGAATGCTCCCACGGCATTGTATGTATTTTGAGATTTGTTCGGTTATGGAAAGATATCGTAATTAAATATTTGATTTATAATTAAAACTATTAATAAGGGTACTTATGTCATATCACGTTTAATTGAGGGGGTCTCACTAATTAAGTTTGGAATGTGGGTTTGTGCAAAAGTCTTAAAAGTCAAATGGGTTTTACTCATAATATTTTCCATTTGAGGGGGAATTGCATATTTCCCCTTATTTAATACTAGTTGATTAGTGTTCCTTTAATTTTAGGATAGGTTAGTTATTATTTTCAGTTGTTTTATTTTTTTATTTTTGAAATTGGAACATATACAAGATTTCGATTTACGATTCAATTTCATTTTTTTCCCGAAATTACATTACAAAATTATTACTATGATGAATTTTTATAGAATTTTCGAATTTCACCAATTACAATTCGATTTAGAATAAATACTGATAAATTATAATCCAATTGAATAATTCAAACATTTTCCATAACAAAAGTTATAGGCGATTTAAAAAATAATTTATTGCCGTTCATCTGGAGAATATTCGCATCAAGATACAGATCTACGGTGAGGATCTGGTACACGTACTTGTTACAGTGTACTCCTCCTCACTAGATAATCACCTCCCTTCTGTTCATTAATGAGTCAATAAAATATTAAAATAATGTTTACTCAACGACTGATTTTCGCCTTCGTCTTCATTTCTCTCTCTACAGCAGATCCGTCACACTTTTTAAGCTCAACTCAAACCCCACGCGGCAGCAATGCAACGCCTGAGCTTCGTAATTACGTTTCTACCCCTGGCGGCGGCGGCGCTGCTAGCATGCATTGAGGCGTCGGTTCACGAGTACAACGGAGAGAAGTTCGCCGCGCAAGGCAATGCGTTCGTCTTCCACGGTGGAAGCGAGGGAATTTACTCTTCTGCCCCTGGACTCAACGAGTCCTCCCCCGCAGACTCTTTTATTCGGTGAATTTTCCTTTTTTTCTCCTTTTTTTTTTCTCCACTGCGTTAATTTGATATGATGTTAGTTTTATTCTGGGGTTTTAGCTTGAATCTGCTTAATCAGTGGTGCTCTGGCGAGATCTATATTGAATTTTTGGACTTAGAAATTGGAGCTTATCTGTGTGTAAGTATGAGATCGTGCAAATGATTATTGATAGAAAATAGAAATATTAATTCCTGGTTAATCCGTTAAATAGCTTGAGAGAGGAAATCATGTCTACACGTTTTGCATTTCAATAATGCTGAATTTGCAGACACCAGCTCAAAAAAAAAAAAAAAACCTATAAACGGACAATTTCTGATCTATTTTGTTCCAAACTAGGTTCGAAAAGGTTGTATTCCGAAGGCCGTCAGAGTTTTCGAATTTCAGCTCAGGATCAGTTCATGTGATTGTATTCGAGGTGGACGATAGGGAGACGATAGGGGGATCTGCGTACGGGGGTCAAAGAGCTGTGTGCTGCTCTGCAGATCTTGCGAAACTCGGTGTTTGCAAGCAAGGTGAAATCATTCACCGCCCGTCGACTAATAATCCGGGCTGGCCACAAGTATTTGGCGCCTCATTCGACGCTGATAAGACAGAGACTACTCTGTATCCAAGGTCGATACAAATCACGAAAACGGGAATGTACAACCTGTATTTCATTCACTGCGATCCACAGCTTAAAGATGCTGTCGTTGTTAATGGGAAGACTGTGTGGAAAAACCCGACTGGTTACCTACCTGGTCGAATGGCGCCTCTTATGAAGTTCTATTTGTTTATGTCTCTTGCATTTGTGGTGCTCGGGTTTTTCTGGTTCTCGCAGTACGCGAGATTCTGGAGAGAAGTTCTTCCGTTGCAGAACTCTATTACACTTGTGATCACTTTGGGTATGTTAGAGATGGCATTGTGGTACTATGATTACGCTGAGTTCAATGAAACGGGTATAAGACCAACTGGGATCACTGTCTGGGCAGTTACTTTCGGATCTGTGAAACGGACTGTATCGAGATTGATTATTCTAATTGTCTCGATGGGTTATGGTGTAGTTAGACCTACTCTAGGGGGGCTTACGTCAAAGGTTCTTCTACTTGGAGGGACTTTCTTTGTTGCAACGGAAGTGCTTGAGCTGATTGAAAACGTTGGTGCTGTGAGTGATCAATCGGGAAAGGCAAGACTGTTTTTCGTCCTGCCTGTGGCGATTTTGGATGCTTTCTTCATAATATGGATATTTACTTCCCTTTCTTCAACTTTAAATAAGCTTCAGGTACTCGGTTCTCATTTTGTATCCCGGTGTCCTTTCCTAACGAATTTTTCATTCTTCGCTCGTCAATTTCAGAGCATTAGTATTGCAAGTTAATGTAAGCGCAAGTGAAACAGCTCTCTTCATATATTTTCTTGTTTTGATGTAACAGGCTCGGAGGATGACTGCCAAATTAGATATTTACAGGAAATTCACAAATGCGTTGGCAGTTGCAGTTATATTGTCCGTCGGCTGGATTTGTTATGAGGTAATATTGGAGAAAATATTATTCGTCAGGCTATTTTTTATCCTTGATAATTTAGTTATAAACAACGAGCTTATTTGAATTTAGTTACGGATTTCCGTAGTTCTACTGAATGATGTTACTGCCTGGGATTTTGCAGCTTAATTTCAAGTCGAATGATGTATACAACGAGCAATGGCAGAAGGCATGGATAATCCCTGCATTCTGGCAAGTGTTGTCTTTCTCGGTCCTGTGCATCATCTGCGCTCTTTGGGCGCCTTCGCAGAACTCAACGCGGTAATCGTTTAATTCTTGTTTCCAGTGTGCTAAGTTTGCTGATGATTAATTGCGCTGTATTTGATTTTTATCGTAATTTAATAGCATGACAAAGTTGATTTGTGGTGACGTAGGTATGCTTACTCTTCCGAGGATGTCGGTGAGGAGTTTGACAAGGACGACACTCTCACACTCATAAAACCGTCCTCCAAGAATGTAAGAACACCCGAACTCAGATTAGCCGAGAGCAACGATCTTTTATTATCCGATGTTAATCTTGATCAAGAAGAAAAAACTGCATAAATTTTACATATATATCTATATATATATATATATATATACAGGTGTGTGCAACTCTGGTTCATTAGGAGAGAGAGTTCTTGAGTTGGTATCAGTAATCTTGTAGAAAATATTATATGTTTATGTTAAATGTGATTAGCATAATATGCAAATAGTATAACATAGTATGTTAATTTGAACACTAGGAACATAGAGACAAAAGAACCAATTCCTAAAATCACGAAACTATTAATAATTACAGAAGTATCTGTCCATTAAATTAGAAAAAAATAATAAAATAAGTCAAAAGGAAGATGTTATAATGCAGGGAATCTTTGTCCGGTTGGAGAGGAGTATTACCACTACCAGCAAATAATAATGACAATTAATTCCAACTTATTATCTAAATTCAACTAATTTGTTTAATTAATTAAACAGTGTCCAACTAAAGAGATGTTACATCGGATGACATACATTACACTTTTGATCTACACATAATCACGCATATACATATATGGATGACATACATTGGCTAGTGTTACACTTTTGATCTACACATAATCACGCATATACATATATATGAATGTGTGTAAATATATATAATAGGATATAATAAGGTGGAAAACAAATCCTAAAGAATTTCTTGTGGCATTTCACTATCTTGGAAAAGTCGATAAAGTAAATTAAAAAATTAAAAATTAAAAACATTCTCAAAGCTTCTAGAAAAATAGAAATACTATATTGAGATACATCGATTCTGAATTCAGATGGTCGATGAGATATCATTGTCAATTGACTTAAGAAAATAAAAAGAACAATCTCCACAAGCTATTTACTGGGGCCCTCTTATCTCCAGGCAATCAATATTCGTTCTAGAAACTACATATAATTTGTTTGAAAATGGCCTGGCTGCTGAATAAAATACTTCAGACTGGAATTCTTCAACCTCTCTATATCTCTAATTCCAATTGGATATAAAACATTATACACGAATAATCGCATAGTTTATGAATCGAACGGTATCGAACTATAGGCGTTCGATAATTACCACAAAGATGAAAAACAAATCATAAGCTAAGGCAAACAGCTACGAGAAGTCTCGATTTTGATCACGTTGTAATTGACCGAGACTAGCCTTTTGTTTTTGACTAAAGAAAGTCATGCGGTGTTTCGGGTCAATTTTGGGTATTAGACCAAAGGGAGATATGTTCTTGGTCGAAAAATCGATCAAAAAGTCAATCACGGTTGGTCAGGCCCGATAAGGCAATAACTAATATACCCGAAATGGCTATGCTGTAAAGTTTTTTTAGTATGAAAGTTAAACTCGAAATTTTCGGCAATAACAAATATACCCGAAATGGCTATGCTGTAAAGTTTTTTTAGTATGAAAGTAAACTCGTAATTTTCGACTTAACTACCATCTTATGTCACTGTAAACAGATCGAAATCTTCATCGGATGCTAACCGTTTAGCAGTCAGTTGAAACTAATCAATGCCTTATCAAAAGAAAACAGCAAGATTCTTCAGATCAAACATAAATGCTTATTTAAATTCTTTTTTTTTTTTTTGGCTGATCATAATAATTGTGTGGTGAAGATTCATAAAAGTACAACAAATACCGCAATCCCCATATAAACAAATGAAGCAAAAATCTAAAAAGCTGAGGGAGTACAAACAAACGCATGCTTACAGTGCGGAAGCATTTGAGAAGAGGCAATGGCAGGCACGAACAGGCTACTGTTGTCAATTGATCGCATCCAAAATCCTTACGGAGACAATCGCAATTGTCTCCACTTCGGGGCTTAATCCCTGAACAACTGAAACCTCATCCCAGATAACTCCGAAAAAAATTCAAAGAATGGTTGTCCTAAAATCTACGTGGCAAAAACTCAATCCCACTCCCCCACCTTCTCTCACTGAGATCTCCTCCTCAAATGCTGTGAAACCGGGCATCCCTCGAAGAAATCCAAGACTGCATTCTCGAGGTCATCAACCGAGTATTTGATGTAATTCTCAGGGTGCCTCCCACTCTCGATATGGCTTCGGAACCTTCCAAGAAACGATCTATAAGCCGGTAGAAGCTTCTCCGATATGGAAATCCTCAGTTCCTCACGAAGCTGAGTATCGGGTATCAACCATGTTGCCTGAGTTCTGTGCACCTCCTCAAATATAGCGTTGAAAGACTTAAACCTCTCTCTCAAAGCACTCCTCGACACGCCGGATGAAAAGCTTCCACTTACATGCAAACCCTCGTCTCTCAAGCAATGCAATACCCTCACCCAGGTTGCCCTTTGGTAATTAGTCGCGGAAAATCGGAATTTTCCGGTCAACTTTCTCAAGTAATCATCACCAATCATCTCCCTCAACTCGGGCGACCCTTTAATCTTTTGAACGATATAATGAACATTGTTCATCATAAACAAATGAACCAAGGAAACATCCTTGTAATGCTTAGATTTACCGTCGAGATTGAATTGCAGAATTTCAGTAATCCAAATCAAGTGAAGAGCCAGAGTCGAAGCCTGATCTTCGTACTCCGAGAAATCCATATCCGGTACATTAGGATCGCTCGAATATCTCGGTCCAGTCGAGGGCTTCGACACGATCAATTCAAGCAAAGTCTGCTTGTAATCGGAAATCAAACTGATGTAATTCATCACATATCTGGTCAAGGGGTGGATCGTTCCTCCAGGAACCGGAACCCTTGAAGGCTCACGAAGCACAGCACTCTCGAATTCCGACAATATCCCTCTCGCTGCCTCCGCTAACCTAGACAATATTTCGACAGCCTGTACCCTAATCGACTCACTGGATTTCGACTCGAAGACATTTTCGATATCAGGCATTAAATCGGACAAGGCGTCGTGTAAATCCAATATCTTAAACAATTTCTCAGGCGACCGCCTACTGATGCTAATTGCTTCGGCGAAATTAAACAACTGAATGGCGGGGCCTTTTATGGTTTCCATGAAACAAGCATCATCGGCTGAAGTACCCAAACCTTCGAATATCTGCTCGCAGAGACGCCGCTCGCTGGCGAATAGCACGCGTATGCATATCTTGGCGGCGCGAATCCAGTGGCGGATCTTCCTCTCGAGCGCCTCCCACTGGAGCCTCTGGATATCGCCGATGCTCAATTTCTCGACATTCAGCTTCTTGAGGCTCGCGTCCACGGCGGACTTGCGTACGCTCGCGTACACCTGAATACACTCGCGCAGGTACCCGGCGGCAATCATCCGCTCGGCGATGGAGCGGAGGTCGTAGACGGCGTCGCTGGGGATAAGATCTACTTCCCTGATACTGCTTGTGGACTTGTAACTGCTGCCCGGGGTGCTGGTGCTGCTCTCCTGGTGCTCCAGCTGCTTCTCGTCGAAGCTGATTTCTCCGATCTCGTCCTTCAACTCGAACTCCTGAGAGGTGAACTCGGACTGAGTTGACTCGGAGAGAGACTCGGCCTCGATGGGTGAGGTGTGGGAGATGAGGATGTTGCGGAACTCGTCCTCGAGCCGAGCCATGGCGATCTGGAGCGTGGAGGAGGCGGCGGAGGTGGAATCGGACAGAGCGACGGACGCCATGGATTTCTGGAGCTCGTCGACGGCGTCGAGGTAGCGGTCGACCTCGTGACGATCGCCGTTGAATATCATCTTGTCGCGCGCGTCTTCGGAGGCGGTTGAGTCCCAACGCAGGATGATTTTTTCGGCGGCGGTTGATCCCGGCGGTTCCATTGTCGGCAGATATTCTTCTTCTCTGAACTTTTTATTTATTTAATTATTTATTTTTCTTTTGGTTGAGAAAAAGGAGGAGTGGAGATGGTGATGATTGATTTGATGGTGGTGGAAGAGAAAATGAATACGGAGAGGACTGCTTGCTTGAACTGGGACTACTTCAATACGGGTGGGCCTTTAATTCGGGTCGGGTTTCTCGTGCCTTTCTTTCATTTTTTTTTTCTTTCTTTTCGAATAAATTCAGATAATTTATTAACAAATATCCAACTATATAATTTATAATTAATTTTAGGGTAAATTACAAACACCCCCTGAGGTATGGTCAAATTATAAAAATCCCCCTCTTGTTTGGATAATTACATCTACCCCCTCAACTATGATTTTTTCTTAGACCTCCACCTTTAAGGTGCCAAATTCAACATAGTCATCTAGATTCCGTGAAACGTGCTCTAGTTTGTACTCGTTTTGTGTAAAAAATACAGTTTTCGATGCACCACAAACAGATATATACAAGCTAAAAATCACATATCATGATCATCTTGCTTCATAATGTAGAGTTTGAATAGGATAAAACGGGTACAAAAGTGATAATATTCCATATAATCTCGAAGATTCCACTAAATTTGAGGAGTTGAGGGGGTGGTTGTAATTATCCAAACAATAGGGGTGTTTTTGTAATTCGACCATACCTCAGGGAGGTGTTTGTAATTTACCTTTTAATTTTATATTTTCTTTTGGTTTTATCTCAGGCTGTTAATATTTTGTTGAGGAAAATTTAACGGAAATGCCCCGGGGCGTTCGAATTGTAACGGCGGCAACAATAATTAATGGATAATCCGATTGTGGGACCCACCTGAAGGTTTGCTTTTTCCTTTTTTGCTTTTATTCAATTTTTAAATGTCAAATCAAAGCACTATATCAATATTACTCCAATTATTTATAGTATATATACTATGAAAGTATCACATAAAATTGTAATTAAAAAAAAATGATAAAAAAATACAATTATGGTTGCCATATTGTTTTATGTATAAGATTTAAATTTTAAACCTTTTAAAATTAGGAAATCAATAGAAAAAGTTAAAAATAATAAAAAATAAAATTATAATAGGTGAGTTATCCTAACGTTTGTTTCTTTTATATATAAGATGAGTTCATAACTTATATTGGGCATGGCCCATATTTTACTACAATCAACCCATATAATTTACCAACCCGGCCACCTTTTAGAATTTTAATATGTTGTTTTATACATAATATTCCATCAACTTCCTAATTAATTGTCGTTTTTCATCTATGCACACATAATAATAATAATAATAACAATAAACCTTGATTATTTAATAATGTGATAATCGAAAATTAATAATTATAATTGAATTGCCAACATTAAAACAATATCGAAGATATAAAATGACAGCTATTATGGAACAAAAATTAATGAATATAAGAAGAGGAAATTAATATTAATGAAACTTAATTCCTTAAAACACGACTCATGGTTTTCAGAATTATTTATTTATACTGCATAAAACGTACCACAGTTCTAATTTAAATTAAGAGTAAATTAATTAATCAAGAAATGAATTTAATGAAGTCAACTTAACCAGTGCAGGAGAGGCCGACAGTCACGTGCATGCATGCTCGCACGTACACATAAATGATATGCTTAGACAGTACTACTAATAATAATTAGATTGGAAAGATTCTTAATTAATTTTGTGGCAGGTTATTATTATTAATTATAAGAAAAGGCTGTAACATAGATAATATAATAATTAAATCATGAAATAAGATTTTGTTTGATGGTGTGCATTAAATGCTTGTTTAGTCCTTAATTTGTCCCATTTGGTTAATTTGTTAGGGTTATAAATTATAATTGTGTATGTTTGCTAATAGTAATAGACGAACAATGTGTTGTGAAAATATGTACATTTTTTTTGCAGTGGCGGAGCCACCATAAGACCAGGGGGTCATGGCCCCCTCCTAATATTTCCCAGATCCCGATTTTTTGTATTAAAAAAGTTGTGTATAGTATAATAGTATTAACGGCTTCTTCCGTAGATTTTTTTAAAGATTCGACCCGCTGAGTTCAAATCCTGACTCCGCTAGTGGAAAAAGGTCTTATTTATTCATCCATAAGGTGCCAAAAAGTATTGACAAGGATTCAAGATTTTGAAAAGAAATTAAATGGTAATTAATTTAATACAAATTATTGAGGGAATAATTCCATAACAATTAATTAAAGCTCGTGATAATAGACAAATTAACATTGAATAGGCAAATAAGTATGTGTATGTTGATTGTTGAGTGGGACACAAACCTAATTCATCCATATTTGTTTACTCATTTTATGTTTATTTGTCTACTAACCTCAAAATGTAGGTCAAAGTTTGTCCCTCTCTTGAGTTGCACAAGCACAGCTGGCATGTCAAAACTTTCCATCTTGAAATTTGTATTAATCTTTTTTTTATAGCCGGAAATTATACGAGAAACGCAAACTATACTAGACTAACCATGTATGACAAACTCGACTTATTGACCGTTGGTAGAGGATTCGAACCGGGATCAATTGAGACAAGTTCGTATTAATCTTGATTGATGAGATGATGAACTAATGAAATTTGTATTTACTAACTAGTACTCTAATCACTTGGAAATTAAATAGTCTTCTTTATTGTGTGGTTGCAGAGAGAGAGAGAGAGAGAGAGTATGTTTATGCCATGAGTTTTCACCACCAAAAGAACAAGAAAAAAACACACTATCAAAGTGAAGAAAAATTAGCTATAACTTATATCTACATGTTTTTGCTAATTCACTACAAAGAAAAGAAAAGATGGCCTATTCAAAAACCTAAAAAAACATGCTAATTCTATCCTACAATGTTACAAAAGGTTACAACATTTTCTCATTCCTCCTTTGCTCCAACAATTAGCCATACAATAGAAAAAGGCTCCCTCATCCATATTCGCGCTCGAAAACCAATCGAGACACGTTCGAGTCTTGCATATGCTATACCGAGCAGTAATTCACCGTAGATCCACACACAATCACACATTGTACGCAGAACATGCACTCAAGTATATATCAATTAATTCGTACTGTCACCGTCAAGACATTTCGAAAGCAAAACTCTTCCGCCCCGATGATTCTCCAACGCTATCCCGCCTCCTCGCCGTACGGTCATTAAAACTCCCTACCGCCGCCGCCGAATGTGGCGCCCCCACCGGTGTCACCGCCTCCGCCGTTTCTTGATCGGCATATCCGTCCCTCAATGAGGGCAAAACGACGAAAGTTTTCGCCTCCCGACTACTCCCACCGATGACCGAAACGCCGTCGATTCTCTGAATAGCTTCTAGAAGGTCCATACGTTGATCGGGATTACTCTCCGTGCAAGCCGCCCCTACGTGGAGCAACTCCTCCACCCCACCGAGAAAATTCGAAGTGTTTGCGATTTCCGGATCGATCAACTCCGCCTCTCTCCCCTCGGCAATTGCTGACCTCACCCATTGCACCAAATCTGTCCCACCCTGCCCGTTGTTAAGGTACTGCGAAGGAAATTTCCCGGTAATAATTTCGAGAATTAGGATTCCTAGGCAATAAACATCACATTTCGGCGAAATGATTTGATGCATTATTGCCTCCGGCGACTTAAAAGCAACTAATGCTAGTGCAGCTTGGCTTCGGCTCATCAACGAGCACAAACCATAGTCTGATAGTAAAGGCTCGTAATCCGGTGTTAAAATAACATTGCTCGATTTTAGGTCACCGTGTGGCAAATCGAACGAGGAAAGCTCGGTGTGAATGTACCCTAATCCTCTTGCAATCCCTTGTATTATCTTCAATCTCATTGCCCAATTCAACTTTGTGTGTGTGTTTCCACGTTCACCTATGTGCAAATTAAAAGCAAAATTTAAAATAAAATAAAATAAAAAATCATTTTTTTTCTCATAATAGTACAAATATTTAAAAAAAAAAAAACATGGTCTAAATAAATAGAAACATATGTACCATGCAATAGAAACATTAAACTGCCTGTGTGGTGATATTCAGACACAAGCAGCTTCTCATCTTTCCTATAATGATATGCCAATGGTGTTAAAACATTCCTATGATTCAAACTCCCGAGCCTCCGCATTTCTCCGTCGAATTTCTCTCTCCCGATTTTGTTCATTTCTTTCGTCCGCTTAACGACCACCGTAAGCCCGCTAGCCATGGTGGCCTTATAAGACGAACCCAAAGCCCCATTCCCGAGCACTTCCGCGGCCGCCTTCATCAAATCGCCCAATCCGAACTCGCCCTTCTCGTCGTTTATAATCTCCAAATCCTTGTTGTGGGCCCGACGGCTCGACCCGGCCCGGCGGCTCGACCCGAACCCGTTCCCGCTCGGGTCCAAATCCCTCTTCGACCCCTTCGAGTCGAGGGGGATGACGCCGAGGTTTTCTCCGGAGGCCTCGTGCCGCCGCCTCATTAGGTATATTCCGGCCACCGTCAGCAAAAGGAGGGCGGCGAATGCCACTAGGAACCATGCGGCGATTCTTAGACCGTTGCTCACGTATTTCGAGGGGGTGCAGGGGTTGCCGGAGTTGCCGCCGCAGAGCCCCGGATTCCCCTCGAAGGCCTTGGCGCTGAATTTCGAGAGGGCGGCCGGAATCTCGCCGGATAAATCGTTGTTAGCGGCGTCGAACGAGATTAAACTCGCTTGACCTAAACTCGGGATAGGGCCCGAAAACCGATTGTTTTCGAGATGGAGCTCCATGAGCTGGGATACTTGTGCTAACGAAGAGGGAATCGGGCCGGAGAAATTGTTGTTCGACAGCCAAATTTTCCGCAACCCGCCCATCCTGGAGAAGTACTCCGGCGGGATTTCGCCGGAAAATTTGTTGTCGGAGATGTAAAGTCCTTTCAAAGATCCGACCCGGTTGAAATCCGGAATCCGGCCGGAAAACGCGTTCGACGTTAAAGCGACGGTTCTCAGGCCGGAGAGTTTCGACAATGCGTCGACGTTTACGGTGCCGGCGAGACCCATATAACCGAGGCGGAGGCCGAAAATGGATCCCCTCTCGCAGAGAACGCCGACCCAGGTCAGGTTTCCGGCGGCGCAGGGCTCTGTTCCGGGCTTCCATGAATAGAGGGGGGCGGTGGCGTTTATGAAGGAGGATTTGAGCTGTAGTAGGGCGTCGGCGTCGGCGTTTGAAGAGGCTGCCGGAAAAATTAACAGGAAAACGGAGAAGACGATGATGAATGGGCCATGAATTTGAATAATGGCCATAAGTTTGTGGAGTGGGGAAAAAAGGAGAGATTTTTTTTATTAAAATTTCATGATTCTGATTCTGAAATTTGTTATTATAATTTCTGTTTTATTTTTCATTGTTTTTTTTTTGTCTTTCCTCTGCAAAGAGGATAATGTTTTGTGTTTGCGATTGTTTTACCGGTGGAAAACCGTTATTGCCGTGGTGAAAATTGTCTTTTTCTTTTTCTTTCTAAATTTAGATGTTTCAACTGTATTAACTACTTTTTTTCATTTGGATTATTATTATTATTATTATTATTATTATTATTATTATTATTATTATTATTATTATTATTATTATTATTATTATTATTATTATTCAGTAAACAACTAAGCATAAGTTTTTTTTCCTACACTTCAAAATTAGGGGTGGCTCCAGTTCCATGAGTTGGACCTAAATCCGGTTCGATCGGATGGACCGGATCAAATTCGATATGGACAAAAGAAAATTTAATAGGCCTCAAAGTAAAAGCCCATTTCAAGAACTTTTAAAATCCCTGTGAAACTTATATAAGTAAAAACGATAACTGAAATTTAAAATTAACAACTCCTGTAACTAATATCGACAAAAGTTTGAAATCTCCCTCCCAGCCTGCACCACCGTCAAACGCCGCTGCGCCGCCGTCGTTTCAAAGCCGCCTGTAGACACGTAAATTTAATATAATATATATTATATTAAATTGAATCCCAAGATTATAATTTATCTTGCAAAATAAGTCATGGAGATAATTATCAATTAATTATTGACCAATATGATTGTTTCTTCTCTTCCAAGTTATAAGAGATAAATATCAATTTAAAGAGAGCCAATCAAATCGCGCCACGTCATCAAGAAGACTTTGTGTAGGACTCTTATTCTACCACTATAAATAGGGACCCTCCCTACACAATTCAAGACACAACTCAAGAAGAATAAAAACCGTAGTAGAAAATTCTCTCTACAATATTCAAGTCGTTCTTCATCAAATTCAAGGCGTTCTTCCTCAAATCGGCCGTCGTGCTTTGCTTGGAACTCTTCCAACACACGGCACCACCATTAAGCGTGAATATAAATCCAGAATTCGACTTCGAGTCGTCCACATCCGATTGAAAACTAGAGTCAGTGAAACCCTCTAATTTCAACTCGGCACCCCCATAGACCAAAAATATATCCTTAGTTCTTCGCAAGTACTTGAGGATATCTTTCACGGCTTTCCAGTGAGCCGGGCCGGGGTTAGACTGATATCTGCTTGTGACACTCACAGCATACGCAATATCGGGTCTCGTACATAGCATGCCATACATTATGCTTCCTATTGCAGAAGCATAAGGCGTCCTTTTCATCTCCTCGATTTCACTAGGTGTTTGGGGACACATAGATTTCGAGAGACGAACCCCATGGGACATTGGCAGGAATCCTTTCTTGGATTCTTCCATGCTAAACCGTTTCATAACGGTGTCTATGTACAGGCTTTGGGATAAACCAAGCATCTTTCTTGCTCTATCTCTATAGATGCGTATTCCCAATACGTAAGATGCTTCTCCCAAATCCTTCATTGAGAAACGTGTGGACAACCATGCTTTCGTTTGCTGTAACATTCCTACGTCATTCCCAATGAGTAGAATGTCATCAACGTAAAGCACTAAAAATATCACTGCCCTCCCACTAACCTTCTTGTATACACAAGGTTCCTCCGGATTCTTCTCAAAATCAAACTCTTTGATAGTTGAGTCGAACCTAATGTTCCAACTACGGGATGCTTGCTTCAATCCATAAATGGATCGCTGGAGCTTGCAAACCTTTTGCTCACTTCCAGAAGATATGAAGCCTTCCGGCTGCGCCATGTAAATTTCTTCCTCAATATCTCCATTAAGGAAGGCCGTCTTCACATCCATTTGCCATATCTCGTAGTCGTACCACGCAGCTATGGCCAGCAAAATCCTAATGGACTTCAGCATCGCGACTGGCGAAAAGGTTTCCTCATAGTCAACACCTTGCCTTTGAGTGTATCCTTTCGCTACCAATCTAGCTTTATAGGTCGATACCTTTCCATCAACTCCAATTTTCTTCTTATAGATCCACTTGCAGCCTATAGGAACAATTCCTTTGGGTGGATCTACCAAGGTCCATACCTTGTTGGAGTACATGGAGTCCATTTCGGATTTCATGGCAGTTAGCCAATGTCCCATGTCCGCATCCGATACGGCCTCATTATATGTTCTTGGATCTCGTCCAAGGTCAACATGATCTTCATCATTTTCGAGGAGGAATAACCTATCCGGCATTTTCCGAACTCTTTCGGATCTACGTACCGTAGGTTCAGGAGGTATATTAGTGGTTTGTTGTATTGGTTCGATTACTTGTTCTTGCGTTTGAACTTCACTTTGTGGTTCTTGAACTACTTCAAGTTCTATCATGCTGCCCTTTCTATCGGATAGAAACTCCCTTTCCAAAAAGGTGGCATTTCTCGAAACAAACGTCTTTGCTTCTTTTACATAATAAAACTCGTATCCCATTGAGTCTTCGGGATACCCCACAAAATAGCACAAGTCGGATTTACTATCCAACTTATCTCCCACTAATCGCTTCACATAAGCGGGACAACCCCATATCCTAATATGTTTGTAATTGGGTTTCCGGGAATGCCAAAGTTCATAAGGTGTGGATTTAACTGCTTTGGTGTTAACTCTATTCAGCAAATACGCGGCAGTACGGAGTGCATGACCCCACAAGTATGCCGGTAAGTTTGTGAACCCCATCATTGATCGAACCATATCCAATAAAGTTCGATTCCGACGTTCGGATACTCCATTAAGTTGAGGAGTTCCCGGTGGAGTCCATTGGGACTGTATCCCATTTTCTTTTAGATAGTCAATGAACTCGATGCTCAAGTACTCTCCACCACGATCGGATCGTAGCTTCTTAATACTTCGTCCGAGTTGCTTTTCCACTTCGTGTCTAAAATCTTTGAACTTTTCAAATGTTTCAGACTTGTACTTCATCAAGTACACATACCCATACCTAGAATAATCGTCGGTAAAGGTAGCGAAGTAGTTATATCCACCCTTCGCACTAACACTTAGTGGACCACATACGTCTGTATGGATCAAATCCAAAAGACCCTCGGCTCGTTCCATTACCCCTTTGTAGGGTGACTTGGTCATTTTCCCTTTAAGGCAAGATTCACAAGTTTGTAGTGATTTCACGTCCTCCAAAGAGAACAATCCTTCACTAACAAAATCGTTCATCCTTCTTAAAGAGACATGACCTAATCTAGCGTGCCAAAGTTGTGCGGGGTTTTGATCTATCTCCTTACGTTTTGCTGATATAACGTTAATTGGTATTTCACTTGGATTTAGTTCATACAGGTTGTTTAATAGTCGTCCTTTGCAAATTAAATTCTCATTCTTTTGTATAATGCAAATCGAATTTCCAAAAACAAAAGTAAAACCTTCAATATCTAATACAGGAATAGAAATAAGGTTTCTAATGAGCGACGGAACAAATAAACAATCGTTCAAAACAATAGGAAAACTAGAATCCAAAACATTTAAGTAAATAGTGCCAATGGCTTCAGCAGCAACTCTTGCTCCATTCCCCATCCTTAGGTAGGTCTCACCCGCTCTAAGTCTTCGACTTCTTGTCATTAGCTGCAAATCATTGCACAAATGTGAGCCACAGCCCGTATCCAATACCCAAGAAGAAGAGTTAACAGACAAATTTACGTCAATGAAATACGTACCCTTTTCAGAACCTTTCTGCTTTAGGTAAGCCTTGCAGTTGCGGCGCCAATGTCCTTTCTTTCCACAGTGATGGCAAGCATCATCAACTTGTTTGCTAACCTTTGCTTTGGGGCCCCCACTACCTTCACCCACTTCGAACTTGCTGTTTGGGAAGGAAACTCTTTCCTTTCTCTTCTTTTGGAAAGAACTCTTCTTTCCAGAAGGAGCAGCAATGAGAACAGACTTCTCTTTCTTAATGGTGGACTCGAAGCTGACCAACATGTTCATTAACTCATCCAAGGGAGGATCTAGTTTGTTCATGTTGAAGTTCACTATGAACGATTCATAGGAACTAGGAAGAGACAACAGGATCAAATCCAACGAGAGCTCGGCCGGGAGGGTGACATCGAGATTCACTAGCTTTTCAAGGAGAGTGATCATTTTGAGACAGTGCTCGTGGACCGAAGTCCCTTCGCGCAGTCTCGCCGTGCAACTCCTTTGTAGCAGCATACCTCGATGCCCTAATATTCTCACTATACATGCTATCGAGATGAGCCTTTATATCGAAAGCATGTAAGTGAGACTCATATTTCCTCGCAAGCGCGGGCTCCATGGCGGCTATCATATAGCACCTAGCATGAGTGTCATCTTTCTTCCAAACTTCATAAGTTTCCTTTTCAGCATCAGTCGCTGTGGCAGGTAAAGTGGCGGGAAGCCTCTCGTTCAAAACGTAGAGACGTCCCTCAACAGTTAGCACAAGCTTAAGACTACGCAACCAATCTAGGTAATTAGGGCCATTGAGTTTATTGTCGAGGATTGACATTATGGGATTCTAGAGACATATAGAGAAGAGGATTATTAGAGATTCGCGTTAAATGATTGTTACAATTAAATGTTTGGACTTGTGTTATTTAATTGTTCTCCCACTAATTTTATCGAGTTCCACTTCCCTCTAGTAGACAAACGAGAAAACTGATTTTTCTTAATGGGCTTTAGGTCCAATAGACAAATATAACCCGTAGTTAATCTAGCCCGATTACATTTGCCCAAAGGTAGATCACAATCAATCATATCCACAATATGACCCTAAATTAATTTTCCTCACACTTGATAATGACCTAAGTTAATCTCGCGAATATCAAAATCGTCGTGTGTCAAGTCTAACCTACCAATCAAAGATGCTCATAGAACTTGATTATGCCGAACTAATGCAGTCCCTAGTTAATCTAGCCGACCACGTTAATCCAACATAACCCTTTTCTATGGCTACCTTCATCAATATGTCAATTGAATTACAGCTTACTCTACCATAGCACTCCCCGCTAACACGGCTTACTGCACTATAGTAAAGGGCTACACA